TACAGTATAACTCATATAAAAACTAAACTTCTTCAGAATACTTTTAATTTTAGTATTTTCAATTTGCGCTTTTAAATATTTCTGTTTTTATTATTGTGAATTTACTTGTAATCTAAACATTTTTGTCCTCCAGCTGGAGGCTCTCTTCCCTACAGTATCCAGACAGCTCAGAAACAACTTTGGCTCCATTCTTACTTTCAGTAAGTTCTACCAAAGCAAAATTCAGTCCTGCTGTTAGGGCGCAGCAGTAATCAGTCACTTCTAGTGTGCAAGTATGATTGCAGTCTCCAGCCCTTTTTTTTTTGTTTTGTTTATTGTCACATCTGTTTTTAACACAGAATCTTTCAGGTTGATCACAAATCAGAACAAATCAGTAAATAAAAGCAAAAACACAAACTCAGCTCAGAAGAATCAGAGAAGTTCAGGAGCACCAGAAGGAAAGCAAATAGTGCGGCTGATTCCAAATAACTCACTGCACATACCAGTTTAAATAAACAGTTGGGTTGGGCTAATGAATTATCTAAGATTATTAGCTTGTATCTAATTTCAGTCTGCATATGGGACCACAATTTATTACTGTAGCACAAACACAACAGATGGCAACTAAAGTGTTGAAGAACATCGGGGAGAAATTTAAACAGATGAACTGACTGGGTGTTTAAAAACAGTTTTAATAATGTAACATTAAATCATAATCTCGAAGTTGGGGCTAGTCTGAAATTTGGTAGTGGAAAAGTTTTTTAGTTGAGATTTTAATGAGGTGGAAAGCCTGAAGTCTGGAAGTTTCAGAACTGCTGCTGAGCAGCTGTACTTTAAGAACAGTGATCAGCTAACACAGCTAAATGACCAGAGTTATAATGGTTTTTCAGGTCTAGCAGAAACACTGGGATTTGCCTATTGAGGCAATTATTGAGATATGAGAAAATGTATTTAGATTAGCCATAACGTAACATTCCCAAAAACAGGAAAAACATTGAACTGATGGCCACATATGGTTTGCTCTGTTATCTTCTGGGTTATATTTGACATCCAGGTGTCCGAGTTATTCCATGCATGAGGTGGGCCGTAACTAGGCCTTGACTTTTGCTTCTTGCGTTCTCTGTATGTTTTGGAACAGCGGTCCCCAACCTTTTTTGCGCCACAAACCAGTTTATGTCCAACAATATTTTCATGCAGGGGCTTTTAAGATGTCGCGAATAAATACAACAAAATAAAACCAGTTCCTGTACCCAAAAAAGTTTGGTACAGTTTGCACACATCTTTTAAGTGATCCGTGAATTCTTGTGTGTGGTTGTTTTTAGCCGCTGGAAGGCAGAAGCAACGGGGAGGAGTCACGCCATGCCACATATCAAGACATACATGAGGGCATCTCAAGATTACTCTCAGCTTGCCTGGTTCCTTGTCACAAGGTTTGTGTTAGTGTGCATCTTTGCATCTGTTCTTTTATTTCTCGTATAGCATTTACTGCTAAAACAGGCAGAATTACATTTTCATGCTAGACTAGAAATACGCTTTTCTTGTGGGTTGCAGAATTAAGAGTTGTATGCGTTTATAGTTATCTTTTCCTGTGTTTATATAAATAGTAATACAACGATGTGGTTGATAAAATTACTTGTTCTGTTTTCTATAATCAGTGATAGCATATTCTTGTGTAATGGTTGCATCTTGTGTTGTATCATTGTATTTGCCATTAGTCTGATCATTTCCTGGTCGCCTGAGCTGTGATAAAAAGTTTCACTTTGTCTCTTTGGTGGGTTTCAGTGCGAATCTCTCCAAGGCAGCATGGGGTGCGCTAGAGAAGAACAACACTCAGATGATGGTGCGTTCGTATGAGCTGGGAGTCCTCTATCTGCCGTCCGCCTTTGTAAGAGCAACATACAATTTAATTGTGAAGAAAAAAATTTCTATTGCCTTTTATCATTATTATAAAAGACCTGATGTGTAGTAACATGATGGATGTCTCCCTACAGGGCATGAAGACATTCTCTGTTGACAAAAATCCATTTCCGGTCTCTGCGTCCTTCTCGGGTTTCCCAGTGCCCTTCGATCTCCCCCCTACATCCTACACTACTAAAGGTACTGGGTGTTTTCTGGCTTTGGAACTAGACTCCAGGAACTGTAGTTTTCAATACTTCAACATTGACTTTTTTTTTCTTTTTTTTTAGTCCTAGAGGTTTTTGCGTGTTTTCATCCACATTAATAGTTTCTGAAAACACTATCAGTGTGGATCTAGCACCCACCAGTCCTGGCTCTATGTCCTGCATAACGTTCCTTTTTATCTGGTAAATCAAAGTATCAACACTTTGAATTTTACTTCACTCTTTTCCTTCTTTGCTCTCAGATCAGCCTTGGATCTGGAACATTCCTTACAGCCAGGCTCCCGACACACACGGCAACATCTGGGTTCCCTCCTGATCACACGCACACACGTCTCATTTGAAAGTCTGCTGTCTGTACCTGTTAGTTACTGTGTTTAGTTGTTAGTGGTCATTAACATTTTTCTAAATACTTTTATACTGTACCATATACTCATATGATTTCTACCAATAAATAAAATATTGTTAGATTTGTGTATTTGCAATGTCAGTTGTTGTTTTTCAGCATTAGAATAAGATTTAAACATAAGAGGTTGCACTGAAATAGCTTGAGTTATAAATCTTCATATGTAATTCCAATTTAGAATCCCAGGAGAGGTCTGATGTGGTCTTATTTTGGCATAATGGGGGAGGTTCTGTGTAAATTTACTTAATTTAAAGTGACAGCTCTGTATGAAACATCCCTTTTAAGTGAAACCTGTTGCACAGATTCATAAATGTTCAAGATATAAGCTTGTTTGCTTCTTAATATCATAAAGGATAAAGCTTGTATAGGATTTGGGGAGAACATTAATGGCTCATTTTTTTGTTTTTAATCGCCGATCTGCACGCATTCCTATTTTTGGTGGTTGGGATTTACAGCACTTTGTGTTTTTTTTACTATCAGGTTAATGATTATATCCGTATATGTACCCCTTGGGGTAAATTATTTACTGATTAAGCAGTTTGAAAGAGCCACAACCACGTTTTCTCTCTTTAACTTGGGTAAGTTCATCTCAGCAAGATGGCTTTTTTTTTTACGTGTTTTAATGTTAGCTCACTACATATTTACACTGGTTAGAATTAAACATATTTACCAGAAACCTCAAATTACGGTAGCACCTATACAAATACAGTATGTTTTTTCCCTAGATCTTTAAAAACCCAGGGTGCATTAAAAAGCAACTGTCCATTGCTGTCTGAATACCCTTTTTTTTTCTTAATCTAGCTTCAACAGCTCTTTCCAACATCGTCTCATCATCTTCATCCCACAGTAAATACTACAGCTTTGCACATCTTCTCCAGCATCGGACGCTTCCTCTCCATTCCTGGGGAAGAAGTGTCTTGGGGAGTAAGGCATCTCCTCACTCTCCAAGATTGCGTCAAGTGATCTGGTCAAAGATGTCTGCTCTCTCTTCAAGACATCTCAATACCTCCACAGGTATGTCACCTGGACCAAGTGCCTTTCTACTCTTCATCCTCTTCATATCTGCCCTTCTTTCTAATTCTCTATAATTCCCGATCCTTTGTCCAGGCTTCTCTTTCTCTCTCGATTTCTTCATTCATAAGCTCCTCAGAGTACTCCTTCCATCTTCTCAAGACACGCTCTCCATTTGTTAGTACATTTCCATCTCTATTAGGCTGCACATCCTTTCCAATTCAATCTTTCTGCTTAGTCTGTAGATCCATGTTCTTTATATTTGCAATAAGTTTCCTAAACGAGTTAATGCGTACGCTACACCTGTAAATTCACACAATGAGCATCTGGTCTGAATTAGGAGTTAAATTAGGATTCGGTGTATAAAAAGTAATTTTACAGCTTAGAAATAATTGCAATTGGGAATGTAAACGTTGGGATGTACTCCCTAGTGTGTAAACAGAACAAGAAGCAAGATTATACTTTCAGCTTCTACTGGGTTTCAAATTTCTTCTTCATTTTGTGTCTGCTTCCTTTAGGGGTCGCCACAGTGGATCAGCTACCTCCACCCTATCCCTAGCATTCTCCTCTGTCACATCAGACTACATCCTTTACTACATCCATGAACCTGCCCTCTAGTCATCCTCTTTTCTTTCTCCTGCTGCCTGGCAGCTCCACCTTCAACATCTCTTATAACCAGTTTATTCACTCTTCCTGCTCTGCGCATGTTCAAGGCATCTCAACCTTGCCTCTTTAACTTTGTCTCCAAGCAGCTCAACCTGTCAGTCTGACATACTCATTTCCAATTTTGTCCCTCCCGATCACGCCAAGGGAAAACCTTAGCATCTTCAACTCCTGCCACCTCCTGTCTTTTGTTAGTGGTACTGTCTCCAAACCATACATCATAGCAGCTCTCATTACCAACTTGTAAACCTTCCCTTTCACTCTTGCTGTTATTCTTCTGTCACACCCACTCCACCCTGCCTGCACTCTCTTCTTCACCTATCTTGTGGATTATCTGTTGCTTTGTGTTGCTTGGTTTTATGTTTAGAAAGATTAATAAAGTTACTGGTTAAACTACATAACATAGGGGGAAATATAGCATAACTTCTCACCCGTGTGAAGGTGAACAAGAACAAATGTGAGTGCATTTCTTAAATAAGGTGTGAGACATACTGCAATGGGAAGGGAAAGGGGAGGGAGGGAAAGCAAAGAAATGCAGTGTGAGAAAAAAGGAATCTAAAACTACACAAACAGCAATGAAAATTAATAAATTTAGTGAGCGTAAAAAAAAGTAGAACAAATGGGTAAACTGGCTCTGAACCTGTTTAGAAGTATAACCAAAAATATATGTCAGACCAAATTATTAGAAACATCCCACAGCACTGCTTCCAAGCAACAGCTCTCTGCCACTGTACCGAATCATAACTGCAGCCAGGTGTCTCTAATAAACTGGCAACTCTATTTACTGTACGTTCAGTAAACTGCGACTCCCGTCGTTCTTTGCGTCGGTGTGTCAACATGGCGCCTGTCTGCCGGACAAAAGGCGAATCTGTCTGACGGCGGATTGAAGCCCAATTAGAAGCAGAGGAGACATTTTGGGAAAACTGTCAGTGTCTGTGTGTCCCTGCGCCCCGAGGCGATAGATATATGGTAAAACAAACATCCGCGGAGGCTCTTGGACTGGAATAATAAGGTAAGTTAAGTCCTCCAGCTCCAACTACTGCTGTCTTCAAACGGTCCTGCCAGGAGCCCGATGCATTTCCTTTTTTCTGTCTGATAACTGCAAACTCCTTAAAAAATCCCCAGTGCCACCGCAGCGGTGTTTTCCCGCGGCGGTTAAGTTTCACACTATCAAAACTGATATTAGCGGTTTTGTCTGAAAAATAACGACTCGGGCTCTCATTCGGCGGGTGTGTAGTTCTCCAAGAGTCACTTAATAAAAAATAATGTCAACTTTTCCAGTTGCTGTACAATGCTCGCTAATGCGGTGCACTATGTATTCCAGCAGAGCGTCGTAATTACGCTGAATAATGAAAGTCATAATAATTGCCCTATTCTACTGTGTTTACTAGGAGTTAGTTTATAAGATGTATGCCGAATTCACGTATTGTTATCCATTATATGTAAAACGTATTAGGACATCTTCTATCGAGAAGTCAGTGTTTTCCTCGAAGCAGGGGGAAAATAAAATCCAGTTTTCTTTAACGCGATTCGGCGTTGAAGTTGACGATCTAAAGACGGACCTCTGCATCGGATTTACCTTAAGATTGGCTGTTACAGTATAACATCTGGTGACAACAGTCGACTAGTTTGTCTTGCGTTTCAGGTTTAGAGTCCAGTTAACAAGTTTCCTACTGTAATTTAAGGACTTTGTGCATGTGCACAGCTGGCACATGTCTGCTACCAGTTCATGCCACGTCTGGATAGGACTTTAAGTAGGTCACTGGGTTCAGGAATGGTAATAGCTTTCCTAATGTCTTTGACTTTATTAGCTCTACTTGAAGAAAGAAAAGTCATAGCCCACAGTGTGAAGTTTTGTTTTTGGTTTTTTTCAGGGAGACAGCTGGATTTATTTATTTATTTTTGACTGATTATTAGTTAAAAAGATCTGTAGAGTAAAACTTTAATGCCCCAAAGAGACAGGTATCCTACAGTCTCAAGAGGGAAACGTTCAAAATTTGTTTAAGAAATAGCAGATGGAATCAGTAAGAATATGAATTCATTCTCTGAAGCTAAGTTTGGAGAGAGAGCAAACCTTCACCTTGGAGGTAGCATTTGCAACTCAAAGGATGCTAAGGGTTCAAAATGGTCCGTAACATTTGTTCCAGATGCTGAAGGTCACTAAGGGTGACACCAGCAATCTTGGAGCACACCTTGACAGATTTGCCACGCTTGCTTCTGTTTTTAACACAAGGAGAGTCGCAAATTATAGAAAACGAGGAACTTCCTTAAAAAGAGCAACCGTTGATTTCCTTTTTTTTTTGTTTTTTTACATACAGCATGAATCAATCATATTAGGCACTGTTCTTGTCTGCACCTCAAAAAGGAAGTGTGTGCATATGTGTGTTTTCATGTACTCCATACAGTGCTTAGCAGGCATGAGCCAGTGCCAAGTACTATTCAATTATTGGTAAATCTGTCTGTGCTTGCACACACATCCTGTTATTTATCTGCTGGTTTTGTGACAAAGACTATCAAAGCTACACACATCCATTTAAAAGCTAGACAGAGGGATATTATTTTACTGACATTGTGGCATCTTATGAAGGGCGTTTCTCTGATTTTGTTTAAATGGGGTGGCACAAAAGAAGAACAAGACAGGAGGGGCCCACAGAAAATCAGAATATTTGATAAAAAGTAAATACAGTGCAGGAACTTGGTGCAGAAAACACTGGGAAAGATTTTTCAGTGTTTCAATGGGCGTTGTTTTGTATTAAACCGACCCTTTATTTAAGTAGGGTTATGAGTATTATTTAAGTAACACAAAGGTATTAAAGGTTTACCATCAAAATATACCTGCAGAATCGTAGACGCTATATTATCACATTACAATTATTGATTCTTTGATGTGTATATAATTTTAATGCTTTAGCTGGAGATGCTTTTAAATACTTTATATGCCACTGAGTAGCTTTATCGATAATAATACAGCATAATATCACGTAATTTATATTTTTAAAAGCTCCAGAATATTAAGTAATGCAGCTTTAAAATAAATTGTATGGAGTACAAAATGTGGCAAAGAGCATCATATTGAGTAGAAGCACAAGAAATACTTAAAGTACAAGTACATTAAAATCCACTTCAGTAAAGTGCTAGTGTACATTTACTGGATACATCTGCTATTTCCTTATTTTAACAATGATTACAACTGTTGAAGATTACATTTGGACTGCTTTAACAAGGTACCTTGTCTGTCTGTGCTTTATCTGTGTTATCCTTTTACCAAAGTTAGTGTGGTTGCCAGACGGTGTTAACATTTTAATGGCAAACCTCAGCTGGCTGGATGAAAACCTGATATGGAAGCTACAGTTTCAAATACAGCGAATAAATGTTGGTTTCCTGCCTTAATATGGTTTACTGTTAGTGTTCTCTGCTGAAAGGAAAGGTGGATTTTTGGTGGCATTCACTCATGTCTGCTAGGCATTGTTAATTGACTTCTATCTGATTACTTTCTCATTTGCCTCCTCATCACATGTTGTCACATGTTTAAAATTCTGTCTGTCTGTTCCTGACTTTGCAGAGAAGTAATACAACAAGTAGAAAAAAACCTGCTAAAACTGTTTTTGTGAGTTTTTTTTTTTTTTTTTTTAAACCTCTTACAGTCCCGCTGGCAACCAGTGATCAGGTTAGGGTTAGATTCAGAGCTGCTCTTTGCATTTTATAACTTTAATTAGAAAAGAAAAGCTATAGTCAATGCAAGAGTCTTCTATTCTTTCTGAAATTATGCTTCTTTGTTATGTAACTAAAATGCAATGCCAACCCTGGTGCTGCACCTGAGCAGTTCACTGTTGACCCGCTGCATGTTAAGAGAGGTTCAGTTTGAGACTTTAAAGCCAGACTTTGATGAGTTCTTCTAGTTTGCACTTACAGTACATGAAATCTTTGAAAATGCCTTGACTGGATCTTTCTTTGTTTAAAAGTGGAATAAATATAAAAATCTAAAGTCAGTCCTTGGCTTCATTTTTTTTGGTAATCTTCCATTGTTAATGTTAATCTTAGGTTACAAACTGAGGTTGAATCTCCAGAATGTGAAGGTTCAGATGTTTTTAGTTAGAAGCTTCTTCAACCTTTTTCTTTTAAATCTATTTTAGTCAGCATATCTTCCTCGGTTGGACCCCACGTCTCCTCCAGTTTTATGTGGATTAGTGATATTACACCTAAAGATTTTTCACTCTTAAATGCTGGACTTTATCTGTCCTTAATTGTCCTTTCTCACATGGGGCACGTGGCACTATATAGTTGCTCCAGAAGCGTTGTCACTACTGGCAGTCCTGGTTCAGGTGAGGGTGATGCCTGGGTGGAGCGTGTAGGAGGGTGCCCACTCGCTCTCTCCAAATTCTCCAGACAATTACTCTTTTTAATTTCTCATACAGGCGCAATGGGATGTCGCAAGGACTTTGCACTAGGGAGCTGGCAAGTTAAAGAGTTTTTAATGCTCAATTTGATTGAGTCGGACATTTACGTTCTCACTTACAGCTCCGCTGAGTAATGAGGAGAACAAGTGCAGCGCTGCAGTGAATGTGTGAAAGACAGTTCCCCTCAAAATAAACATCTATTTTTAGTATGCACAAAGATCAACTGATTTACCAGTGGTACTTGGTGTTAAGGCACATTGTAAAGAATACAGATGTTTCCTTTTGTGTTGAATTTGTGTTAGAAGTAAAAAAAAACAAAAAAATTGCCAAGTAAAGCAAACAGACTGTGAAACAACTGAAGATATGTTTGATTTTTGAATACGCATAACAAAATGTTGCACAGGTGATCGCGATCAGTGATTATCAAATTAAATGAAGTATATAAATAGTTTAGATAATCGTTTTTGTGGTAACGTTTTCTTTATTGATCTTGTGTATCAGTCTAACTTCAGTATGAGTCATCCTCTGCAGCAGGGAGGGAAAGTATGAAGCTTTGCTGCCTGAAATGTAAATTTTTCTTGGCATTCTTCCCAAGATGCAAACACACACTCACCCGCAACCTCCCTCTCTTATATCTGTACGTGTTGATATGCCTGCTGACTTTGATTTTCTGCTGTGGCCTGTTTTTCTTCTCTGCGCCAGAAAGAAAAGCACTGAGACAGATGTTTTATCTCTTATTTCTCTGTTTATCTTCCTCGCTTGCTCTCCCGCTTTCCTCCCTCGGTTCAGCCTTGTGACTGTTATGACAGTTTTTTTTCAGAAGTGACAAATTCACTGTGCAGTTATAGATAAGAATTAAAATTTAATGCGCCAGGGCTGCATTGAGGGGGGAATGCATTTGATTTAAAAATCATACAATAGCACACAGTGAATTGGGTGAATAACATATTTGTGTAACTTTAAAATGATTAGAGGAACCAAAAGCTCATCAGCTATAATAAAAAGCTTATTAAATGTGTAGGAATGCGCTTCATATCTGGACAGCAGCTGCTGAGTGGTGACGTCTTA